TATCTTATATTTACTTAATATTATATAACATAATCATAATATATTATTATATTATTATTATATATATATATATATATATTAATATTATATATTGCATGTAATATTTTTCAAGTGCTCAACTTTTTTTGACATTAAAATACTTTTGAATTGTAATACAAAATTTTTTAAATAAGAGCATTTTTAATCATTTAGAAGGGTAGAATGAATATTTTTATGAAAAAATAGTGGCATTTCATTAATAGTTAAAAACAATTAATGTATCTTGTAGGTGATGTCACACACCATATCCGTGATGTCATTGTCCACTATGGTTAATAAATGTTCTTGTTTATATTAGGAATTTATAGTTTACTCTCTACTAATTACTTAAAATACCCTTAAACAAAAAGTTACTATACTATAGGATAAGGGTGGTATCTAAATGTCTAAAAATGTTGAGCACTTTAAGGGTCTACACCACAAGTGGTGTAGCGTAACAACCTGTATGTATTTATGTAGATCAACAAAAACGGAAGGATGAAGTTCTTATTCATTTTAGAAACTTAATTTTTCATGTTTTAACAAATGAATGAAACTTTTGTTGAAAGATTACTTTCTAAACTTTTAGATGAAATCGTTATATTATGTATAGTGAATAGTGATCAACAAAAACGGAAAGATTAAGTTCTTATCCCTTTTAGGAACTTAATCTTTCATGTTTTAACAAATGAATGAAACTTTTGTTGGAAGATTACTTTATGTTCTTATCCCCTTTAGGAATTTAATCTTTTATGTTTTAACCAATGAATGAAACTTTTGTTGGAAGATTACTTTCGAAACTTTTAGATGAAATCTTGCGTCAAATGCGAAACTTTTGGAAAATCAGAAAGAAACCTTTGAGAAAAACAAACACCCTAAAGCTTATTTTCCCTAAAGCTTATTTTGGATACAAATCATATGTTTGTTTGTAGATCTACTTGATTTTAGCAATTTTTGGACTTTTAAATTGTATAATTAGATATGAAAATAGATTTTGAGATAATCCTAATAATTTTTTATACCAATACCAAATCATATTTTGAGATAATCTTAAGAATTTTTTATCTCAATACCAAAATAACACGTTATAACAAAATTTGGAGGTACACTTTAATTGGATTATTTAAGGATGCAACCCAAAAATAAATAATTAGTCTTATTCTATACGTTTCCTAATAGAAAACCCCAACAGATCCAAATGCAGGTAAATTGGGTTGAGGCTGGTGCAGTCTAATTTTGACATTGAGTCACCTATAATCGGGTCACGCCATGAAACCTGGCCCACTTTTAGGAATAATGTACCATTCACAGCGTTCAGGACCATGCCCCACAGGGCGAATGTCAATTATCTCCCGCATATCGCACTTTTCTTTTTATTATAAGTTTTTTTTAAAAAAATATTTTTATTATAAGTTAATGAGTGAAATGCTAAAGTAATTGTGAATTGATAATTTTTCTTTCACTCTAAAAAAAATTAATATGTATTATACTATCTTTGAATTTTCATTTTAAAGAATGAGATTGTATGCAATGAGATTATTTACCTTTTATACCAGGTCACAATTACTTGTAAATATTTAATGTAAACTTTCATTAACATGAAATTCGCTAACATTTTTTCTTTTTTTTTTTTCTTTTTTTTTTAAAGTTAACCTTTCGACAGAGACTCAAGGCCATTATGCTCTCATGTAACAAGGATGAACTTTTCGTGATTGGCGAGATATTGAGGGAGGGCATTTTGGTCTTTTTGATGCAGGGACTACGAGAAGGAAAGTGAAAGAAAAGATGATGTGAAGGAATTTTATAGGATCAACCACATTAACCAGACCTATGACTTTGTAAGTTGTCTTATAATATATAACATACTAATTTTTATAAAATAAAGAAGAAACATACTTATTACTATGCTCATTACAGGTGTGTTGTATTGTTTAATGGTCAATTTTTAGGCAAGAAATTTTACCCGTTCTGAGTGTTTTTTTTTTTGGTTGGTTGAATATTATAAATTGTTGATTTGGTATTAGAAATCTTTGTGATGACCTGAAAATTTATGTTTATTTGTAATTATAAAATTTAAAGATTCATAGATATTGTAGATCAAGCATATCCATGAAAATCTTGAAAATTGGCGGTCTAAATAGTACATTACAAGATGGACCATTTCCAATAGTTGAAATCTATCTTTACTCACCTGCATGCATCTAGAGGGATGATCGGGGGTTTTTAGCATCGAAACAACCTCTAATAGTGAATTTTTGAGGTGTATTTTAATTTGATCGTTTAGAGCCTCACCCTAAACTTTTTTTTTTTTATGATATCAGGCGGTGAAGAAGAGGGAGGAGTATGGGAAGCTGAACAGGGCAGTGATGAGCATTTGGGAGTGTTGTGAACTGCTGAATGAGTTTGTGGATGAGAGTGACCCTGACCTAGATGAACCACAAATTGAGCACTTGTTGCAGACTGCAGAAGCCATAAGGAGGGACTACCCAAATGAGGACTGGCTTCATCTCACTGCACTCATCCATGACCTTGGCAAGGTCCTCTTGCACCCCAACTTTGGAGGGGAGCCTCAGTGGTCCGTAGTCGGTATGTACCAATATTCCATTGCCAAAACACACCCATTCTCTCTTTCACTCCATGCCTGTTTAGGCAGTATTATCAATCTCTTTTTTTTTCTTTTTTTTATAATGCAGTGAGCAAGACAGGCTCGCTACTCAATTTTTTCAAATAATTTAAAAGTCTTTTTTTTTAAGGTTTTAGTAGAGTGGTGTGATAGAAACGGAAACCACAAGACGATGACTAGGGTGTAGAAGTGCTACCACCACGACCGCAGCCCCCGTCCGCAAGATTTCCCTTTCCTTTTTAATTGATCTTTCTTTCTCTCTCTCTCCAACTACGTTATGCTTTATATCAATATCAATATTATTCTGTGGTTTCGTGATTTTGACACGAATTTGTATGTTTTTCAGGCGACACTTTCCCATTGGGTTGCTCTTTTGATGAAGCAATCGTCCATAACCAGGTACGATATTATCATATTAAATACAAAATAAAATGAATTTAATGCCTTTTTTTTGTTGGGATTGTCTACTATGAGACTATTTATCATCATTATAACAAGATCACTATTTGTGTTATGTATTAGATGGCACAAAGTTCAAGTTTTTTTTTTTTTTTTGTTTTTTTAAGTTTGAGTCTATCAATACCATATTTAGATTTATAAGATTTAAAATTTTATATACAAGAGTGACAGGGACTTTTTGTGGTAGCCCCAACAATACGTTAACTATTGGTCTCGGTTTCCATTCCTACCAATGCGAACTCTTTTTTTGTCAAAAAATGATAGATAGAGTGATAGTGACTTTATTATACTAAAAGTAAATGGCTTTTTTGTATACTTTAAGGTTGCAACCTTAAATGTAAAATCACATGTGCATCTCAAAAATCTATCGGAAATGTTGTTTTAATGTTGAATAAACCCTCTAATCGATCATCACGACATTGAGATGTATGAATATGAAAAAAAAGAAAGATTTTGAGTCCCGAAAATAGTGTACCTTACAACACATTATCTAGACTGTCTATTTTCAAGATTTTCATATATTTATAGGTCTGCTTGATTTTAACTATTTTTGAAATTTAAAATTTTTTAATTAGGCATGAAAATAAATTTTAAAATAATACTAAAAATTTTTTATAACAGAATGACAAGCCTTAATTGGATTGTTTAGGGTTGCATCCTTATAGAAACCACACCTTAAGTTGCATCCTTATAGAAACCACACCTTTTATATTTTGATATTGAAGTAGCCAGAATAGCATTAAAAAATTTATTATTCTAAAAGTAAATGGTTTTCTTTTATACTTTTCCATTTTGATATTAGAGTAGCAATAATAGCATTAAGAAATTTGACGTGTTCTACGGGTATTTTGGGTATTGGTTTCTGGATGACATTTTACCTTTTCTTTTTGAGCAGTATTTCAAGGATAACCCTGACTCGAAGCACCTGGTTTACAATACGAAGCTGGGAGTTTACACTGAGAACTGTGGTCTTGACAAGGTTACCATGTCATGGGGCCACGATGAGTACATGTACCGGGTATGTTACATTCAATTCTACCTCTCTCTCTCTCTCTCTCTTCTCTTTCTCTTTCTTTCTCTCTCTAACACAAGCCCCGTGTTCTCATATTGAGCTGCATATGCATATTTGGGTATACAAAAAGATCATTAATCTCATATACAAAGCGGTTGGAAACATTTGACGGGTTATGTTATAATGTGAAAAAATTTCTTTTAGACTTTGAACCCGATGAATGACATGCCCCTCTACCGGCTAAAGTTAATTATGAGCCCTGTAACAAAATAATGGTATTATTATATGCTTTTGCTTGGGATATCGGTCATGATGAATATGCTTTCATATTAATAATGATTTAATGGCTACGAGTTTATCTTGTAATATTTCATCATTCTTGGCCACAGAGTTTCCATGAGCGAGTGGAAAGTTTTTATCCAATTTTTTGTTTTATTTCTTAACTATATTTTGGTTTTATTTCTCAAATTGATTGATCATTATTAGGTTCACTTCCTCCAAGGGTACCAATACAATAAATAAATATTAACTACTAAAATACAATATATTAAATAGAAATTGATCAAAATACTCATAAGAGATGAAGTATTTAACATTTTATCAAATTACAACTATCCCAACTTAAGACAACATATTATTTTTGAAATTAAATTAGAGATATTGGTAAAGTGTCAAATTGCTCATCTTGTAGGTAATTTGATAAATTTCCCATAAATAAATGACCCATTTCCTTAAATTTATGTAATTTTATATGAGAAAGGTGGCAAAGGAGAATTGTACGACCCTCCCAGCTGCCGGTCTCTTCATCATCAGGTTCCATTCTTTCTATGGTAAAGACAAGATCTCTCTCTGTCTCTCATGGTTCTTTCATGAAAATCGCCATTTCATTTTGTTGTTTTTTTTGTTCTGTTCATTTTTATTTTGCTTATTTTTCAGCGATGCATCGATCCGACTCCTACAAATATCTCATGAATGAAGAGGATGAAGAAATGCTCAAGTGGCTTCGCATTTTCAAGTGAGGTTCAGTCTAAGGGTATTATGCTCATTTTGTATTAACATGAAGGTAAAATATCATTTAAGAGGTCGAAAGCCCTTAAAAAATTGATAGAAGTTTAAAATATCCTAAACAACATCAGATGATTAACTTTGTAGTTTTCATTTGTACCTCGAAAAAATATAATTCGTAAATGTCAAACAAGTGTACTCCTTTCATTTAGTTAGGGTCTCTAGGTCGGTCAAATTACTAAAATACCCTTATTTATTTAGAATTTCAGATTTTTTATAATATATGTTTTGAAGAGATATATGAATGAAATGAAAATTAAAAAATAAATCTTTCATATTTTTTAGATATTTAAACACCTGTCAATCCGCTAAATGGTATTTTCTTTGATTGTCTCGTGTTAATTTCAAAATTTGTAAGTCTTAGGATGGGCTTGTTGGGGTCAACTTGTACTTAAAAATAGATATAATGGGCATTTTAGAGTGAAATATTTGTAATTGTTTATTGGTGTTAAAATGGTTTATCATGGCCATTAAAAAGGGGTACAAGGGAACTTGGCAAGTAATTTGAGAGATGTTTTGAGGGGACAGTGGGGTGAAACAAGTGTTTCAACAGGATATAAAATTCATTTTGATTATTGAACAGGGTTATAATAGTCACTGTATTGATTTGTTTGGGTACCTATTTGTGCAGCAAATATGATCTTTATAGCAAGAGCAAGGTGAGGATCAATCAGGAGGAAGTGAAACCCTACTATCTCTCCCTCATTAAGAAGGTATACAAATAACAAAACTTATTTTTTTTTTCTTTGTTTTAGTTTTTTTTCTTTCCAAAATTTCTTATTCCTCTTTAGAAAAAGCTCTCTTTCTCAAAATTTCTCCATATTAAAAAAAATCTCTCTCCTCTCTCACACATACACACATATTAATGCCTTTTTTTTTAATTGTGGAGTGCAGTATTTTCCTGAGAAGCTTAGATGGTAGAATGATAAACCGAAACATCATCCCTTGACCCTCATTTGGCTGCTATTCCATTAGTTGTAGTGTTATAAGTATTGAAGCATATGTAGGAGAGTGAATTGGAAGTTGTTTCTGGTATGACATATTGTCTACCCAATAATGTTGTTCATATTTTTTTTAGGACCTGGTTTCTATGTTGTCAAGCCCGTATATGTAGAAATGCGGGTCTCTTAATAAATCTATTTTTGAGATGGATGCTTTGCACTTTTTGGACCGATATGTAGAAATGCGATCTAGCATGAAACTATTGACTTTTTTATTTATTTTTTATTTCATGCCGAGTCATTCTTGACTAATTCTCATCATTATCATTGTCATCACTTTTACATTTGCTAATAATAATTTCATCATCATCGTAACAGCAATGCCGATAAAGGCTTATCACCGTCGAATAAATGTGTTGGACGAAGATGATTCATCTTTAAATGAGATGTTGAGGGTCTCTTTTTCGATTGAGGTTAGGGAAAGAATGCGATAAATCAATTGATAGTGAACAGCAAGTAGATAAATTCCAAAAGCAGTTGAAGACTTATGAGTTTGAGAGAGAGAATGGGGAGTCGAAGCCTGGGAAAAAATCAGAACCCGGTTTAAGAGAGAGAATGGGTAAAAACTTGAACCAAGAGTGTGTTATGAGCGAGAATCTATAGAAATCAAGAGTGTTTGAAACGAGCAAAATTGAACCAAGAGTGTGTTATGAGCGAGAATCTATAGAAATCAAGAGTGTTTGAAACGAGCCAAATTCAAGAGAGAGAGATCTTCTTTTGATCTTTTCTCTCTTTTCTCCTTTTGGCTTTCCAAGTGCATAGAGGTTGACCACTAGGGTTCGTTTGTCCTTTATTTTTTTAAGAGAAATAGTTAGAATGTGTTAGTGTGAATGGACGTCATGACCTTCAGCATGGTAATACTACTACCACGACAACATTCCCATTCTCACCTCCTCGAGTGAGAGAGAGTGCGTGTCAAATACATACAATTCAAAAAATATAGGGTTTCTTCTCCATATACCAATCTAGGTTCCAAAATCCTAACATTTTCTCTTTCAATTTTTAAAAATTATGTAGAATTAACTTAAGGTCTCACACACCTCTTATATTGTCAAAAAAAAAAAAAGAGCCCCACACCTTATATTGTAAAAAAGAAAACCTCACACCTCTTATATATTATAATTCAATGTTCAAAAGAATTACATGTCTATATAATAATTAAACGGGTGCAGAACAATCAGAGTAAAGTGCACCTTCAAATAGTGCCGAGAAATGTGGTTTCAATACTAGAATTATTTGTGATAGCCGTAAAATATATTTCTATCTTTAGTTATAAAATTTAAAGCTTCAAAAATAGTGTCGATCGAAGAGATATATGAAAACTTAAAAATCTGGATAATTGACGATCCAAAAAGATGTACTATTTCCTTAAAATCCATTTTTTCTTTCCATGTAGATAATGTTGAGATGATTAATTTGAGGATATGTGAACATCAAAACAAGCTCTTCTAGTATATGGAAATTGACGATCCAAAAAGATGTACTATTTCCTTAAAATCCATTTTTTCTGTCCATGTAAATAATGTCAAGATGATTAATTTGAGGATATTTGGGCATCAAAACAATCTCTTCTAGTACAATTTTTGAGGTGGGCTCTAATTTGATTGCTTGAAGCCTTAGCTTCTGTATATAGCTCTGTATGACCTTTTTCTTAATTAAAATGGCCTATATATTCTTAACTTAAACTTAAATTTCATAATGCTAATTTTTTCCATGTAAGTAGTACTCATGAATAGTACTTGTAAAGTAAATAAAAAATTTCCTAGAATATCTTAAAAAACGAAAAAACCCTAAAAATAAATCGCAAAACTAAACTTATAATATACATCCTTTAAGATTGAATAAAAATAAGAATAACTTTACCCTCCGTTCTCTCTTGATTGGAGAAAATTTGTCCTTGAGTTTTGAAGTGTGCTAAGATGAAATTCACATTAGTCTAGCAACATTCTTCAACTCGAATATTACACTAATTAAAACACAATGAATGTGCATTAGAAACAGTAAACCCTTGAGAAAATAGTCATTTAAAACACAATGAATGCGCATTAGAAATAATAAACCCTTGAGAAAATAGTCATTGAACGTCAATAGGATATTTTTAATAACATAAATTTGTTATACTTACATTACTTCAACCATATATCCCTGCTGAATTTGTCGATACCCAACTCTAAAATCACTACAAAATCTTGTTTTTCATCTAAGTATGCATTGAAAATTGGTAACATATCTCAAACTACATCCTGATTTTCAATATTATCTATATCAAAACCAAAAATCTCATCTATAGTGATGTTCCCCACATCTAGGCCTTCTATCCTCATCACTCGACTCCCCACGCAAAGCGTAAAAGTAAAAAAATTAGTACATGTGATCCTCTTGAGCTAAAAGATCACTGCAGGTTCACAAATTGATGTGCTTGCCTTTCAAGTTCTCTTATTCTATTATATATAGGATAACATAGTTCATTTATGAAAATCCCCCTTCTACAGATCCTTTTTGCTGCGATAGGTTCGCCGAATTCGTAAACCCTACGCAATTAATCAACAAAAAGTTGTTGAAATCAACAAAATCAATATTGCTTTAGCTAAACCTAAAGCAAAACCAGCAAACCCTAGACCCGCATTGTAACTCCTCACCTTTGTTGTTGATCTAGGGCATCAAACAAATGAGTGTTACAATAACTCCGTACATGCTGCAATACTTTTTGTATAAATCGAGGGATGTAGTACCAATTTGATGCAAAAAAAATTGAAAGAAATAATAAAAGTAATAAAAAACAAGCTAAACATAAGCACAATTCAGAAAAAGGTTTCTTCTCTATACAAGCTAAGATTCTAAAAACCTATGTTTTTTTCTCTTTGAATAATTTCTAAAAATCATGTGAAATAGACCCTCCCAGAACCCCACACGCTTATATATTATAATTCAATATTCAAATACATTATATGTCCATACAATGATTCAAATGACCTATATATTTTAACTTAAACTTAAATTTCATAATGACAATTTTATTCCTATGAACAATCCTTGTCAAAAGTAAATAAAAAATAAAAACCCTAAAATTCCTAATAAGCCCTAAAAATAAAATTATAATATACATCCTCTTGAGGGGGAGAGAGAGATTACAAAAGAGATAGAGAGACTGCTGCATGGGAGATGAAGTTCAATGGATCATTGCCCATGCCAGATGATAAACAAATGAGACATTACAAAAGAGTGGAAGAGAGAGAGAGAGAGAGAGAGAGAGAGAGAGAT